CTGTTGTTAATTGTAACTTCTATATTTTATGACAAATCTGTTGTTAATTGTAACTTCTATATTTTATGACAAATAACTAGCGTTCACTTAGGAAACTACTTAAATTAGAAAAAAAATACATAAGTTGCGAAGATGGATCGAATTGCCATTAAAATCAGTTTTGCACTTACAGGTAATTTTGTACGTTTTTACTTTGGTAATGTACGTTTTCATTGGGTAGAAGGGCTGGGGCTTTAGAGAGCAAAGAGATCAGGAAATTTTTGAAAGTTTTTGGAAGGATAATTAATTAAACCTATTTTGGTGAAAACGGTTCCCCTGCGGGGCCCGTAGTCGTTCAGTTGTCTTGCTTGCCTCATCAAAAAAATGTCCTAGTCAAAACTCTATATAAAATTGCATTTACAAGAATCATAGTTTCAAAAAGTACGGTAAGCATGTTGGTCTGGCCACAACCCTGTTGGAGTTTCATTCGAATAACGTGCCTTCGGTTGAGCATTAATTATTATTAGAGAGTTTTAGAACAAACGTGACCAAGTTTTCATCGTTTTCCTGTATCTTACTTAACCCTTTACAAACTTTCCCACTACACACAAATATTCTTTTGTTTTTCTACTACTTGGATTCTTTTGCAAGTCCTTTTCAGTAATGTAAAATACTTTTTCACTGGTCAACTGACGTTTGACGTTTGCCGTGAACGTAAATCTAAAACTCTCTATTGCTTCGTTTTCCTTTCAAACCATCTGCATGTCTTTCCCTTGAAAACATTATACGTGTGTTTTTCAGCAATGTTTGAGAAACTACATATCAACAGCTTAATTAAAACGAGCATTTCAAAATTATTTTATGAAATACAGGGATTGCCAACCAAAAGTCAGTCAAATATCTATCCTCAATGCTCACACTGCCCACTGAAATTATATTTTACCAAAAAAGGTTAATTTTTTTAATTTTATTACGATATCCACAGGCCAATCTTTTTTTTTTTTATTATTTATTTATTATTATTATTATTATTATTTCTATTGCGAAGAAAATTTATTTAAAATGTTATTTTTCCTCACAAAAAGATAATAAATAAATTAAACTAACTTTCTTAGCTTTTTTAGCGAACCTAGATTTATTTACAGTTAATCTTGAAATTAAAGGTAACCTATATCCATTTCTATTTTCAATATAATTCTCTTGGACGTCGCTTATAATATATGTTGAAATTGTAAGTTAATACTGACATGTCCTGTGTTGCTGGTTTGCAGGGTAGTTTATTTATTTATTTATTTATTTTTTTTAATTATTTACAAACATTTTAATTGAAATTTACAAGCTTTTTTTTTACAATCTATTGTTGCGTGATTCTTTCAATACATGATATGTTTAAAGATATCATCATTAATCCCGTACTCTTAATTCCAGTTTGTCATTATATTTGACATGATATTGACAAAATATCGAAGCTTTAACTGGTTTTCGTGCTCATTTTGAAACTAATCCTATATATCCTAATTGAGTCGTCTAAAATGCTTTTAAAGGCACAAGATATAGTTAACTTTACCAATAGCTGTTCTAATCCGACTGATCAAAACGCCCGCAAAGTCGGTGCGAGTTGTTTAATCGCGCGCCAAACCTTTTAAGAGGCAAGACATCTCGCCTTGGCTGATGTKGTTTCCTTTCTTCGCCATATGTTTTTTATACCACAATATGAGAATTAAACGTTGATAAAGAAGAACATCCGGTTATTGTGGTTTGTAGACTATTGGACTGTTCACCGCTTTTTATTGCTTTAAACAGTTACACGATTGTCTTATATTAAAACTATCATTATGAATAATCGATGTCTTTATCGGCTGCATAGTCAAATTGTCTCAACTATCAACGCTTTTTTATATATATCATTTCATATATTCATATTTAATGTTTAATGTTTTAGTGGTCGCAATGGTGAGAGCACTCGCCTCTCGTCAATGCGGCCCAGCCTTAGACCTGCCGGGCTCGATATCGTATGTCGGTAGAGTTGTCGGGCTCGATATCGTATGTCGGTAGAGTTGTTTGTTGGTTATTTCTTTCCCTTATATGCTTCGTTCACTGGAAAAATCGATCGATTTGAGATGTTGGGTATAAGTTGAAAGATTGATGGGTTGCAAGCATTCCCAAGAGAGTTAAAAGACAAAAACATGGCGGCCATTGTGGTACCGTTAACAATGGATGCTAATGAGAAATCTTTTGTTAAATGATACCAACATGGCCGCGATGATCGTAACGTGCAAATGAAGAATACGTTGAAATTCACTGAATACTTCAACCTTTTCGATACCTCAATGGTATAGAAATATGGGCGTTGCCATTTACTTTCAAGATACTTCCATCATTTGAAGCGCGCGCAATTTTTACAGAGCTCTCCGTCCTCTTCATCTTTCTCTTTCTTTCTTTGTCAGTTTCTCGATCTCTCTTTCTCTTTTATAATATCTATCTTTTAATATCTGCCTCTTTTGGCTTACCCAAGAGTCTATTAAATTAGAAGTTATTCAAAAAGCTTTTCATTATTTAAACTTACAAATTCATTTCCATGATTTCATTTTAGTGGCCATGGCACTAAGAAATTATTAAGCTTCCTTTAATAGCTTCCCTTTGTGGGAAACAAGGGTGGCGTGCGCTGTTAATGCGGCCCGACGGTCCTGCCGAGTCGAGTAGAGTTGTTTGTGGGTTCTCTCCTGTGCTTCGAGGGTTTTTCTCCGGGTTCTCCGGTTTTCCTCCCTCCTCAAAAATCAACTTCTAAATTCTAATTCAATCTTTGGGCTTTCACTTAGTTTGGAGCCTAGCTCTGTTGTGATTGTCCTACGCTGTGATACAACAGCTAAAGTTAGTAGAATAGTCAAATAGCGAAATATTTAGTTAGAATTGACTGCGTTATCCGGCAACATAAACGTTTCTTTATCCATCGCCGATTTCTGTTAGTCTCGCTGTAATACTGATTCAGAAACGCAAGTACAATCTTAAGAAAAAGATATTCGGCTTCAAGACGCCTGGAACCCGTTACATACACACCCCATTCAATAACATACGTTGAATGTCAATGATCATATGATCCCAATGCAATCGGGACAAGCTCAAAAAAAATGCCATCGACTTATATTGCTAGTTAATAACTACAAATCCCCCACTTCCCCTCCCCATGTTTTGACCTTATTCCTTATATCTGTTTAGCACGTTTTTAGTCAAGACTAAGTATCTATAGCTACGTCACGTGTTAAGGAAACTCTGGTTGATTAGTTCACGGAGAGAGTCACTCCAGATAACAATCGTCGCTCTTAGAATGGAAGTGAAAGAATGTTGTTTTCTTTACGTCTATGAATTTTCCCATCTCTTGTGCCATGGCCAGAGGCTCTTGTCTAAAAAAAGGAATTAATCTAGAAATTGATTTTTACAAAGTGGAAAACCGGAAAAAAACTTCACGAAACGCATGAGAGAACCATCAGAGTCATCGGGTAGTCCATTACCTGTCCATCGGTCCTGCTGCTTTTTTTATTTAACATAACTATTTGAGAATCATTTAGAAACCTCCTAGATACCTTTATCAACGTAGGTAGGGAAAGATAAACTAGACTGCTGACGGAAACGCTCTCATCAAAAAGACACGTGCGCGCAGTTTGTCCACTTAAACTATCCTGCAGCTATTGATTCGAGTGAGTCGAAAACTTACTTGACACCTCCTTTGAGTTTGAAAGCACTCATAGCTTGGCTCCATTAAGTAGAAGCAAGATAATGCGTCGAGGTTGCTTGAACAGTTAAAAGCTCACGGAATTCTTGATTGCGTAGGATCGTAAAACTTGCAGAAAGACGGGCTTCCCGTGTTTTTTTTAATCCTCTTTTTTTTTTTTTTTTTTTTTTTTTTCATTTACCTAGATTTGGTTGACGTTCTCTCTCCAAGCAGATCAGAAAAAAGGACCGATCTGGAGAAGGATCATTTTTGGAATGTCAGCTAGCAAAATGAGCCTTTATTTCTTTCCTATACAAATGTCCACCAAAACAATAAATTAGACATGGAGATAAGTAAACAAAAATTCGAGGAAATAATTTAAGAGATAATTTCCACCTTTTGCGCTGCAAAGCATCCAGGAATAGAGAACTGTATTTAACTTTGACATATTTTTTTTCTATTTCAGACCACGTTCCCTAGATAATAATATTTTGTCTTTCGTTGTATCCATATTTATCCATATTGATGTATCTTCTCATGCGGATTCAGTAAACAAAGAAATGATATTCTAGGGAAAGACATGTGGTCTGAAATGGGAGAGAATCACGCCCAAGCTAAAAGAGGTCTAAACAGGATGTGGTGCACAGCAGTTCAAAGACAGTTAGCTGCGTAAGTCTGTTAAATAACTTTAATCTAGCTTGAGTGTATTAATTTATCAAAGCACATTTGTTGCATCGGTGTTCCTAGGATAACTTTTCAAAGGATGCATTTGCTCTCCGCAGGAGTTTATCCTCTTCCAGCCAAAAAAACTTAAAATTAAAATATAGCATATATCGGCTCATTGCAATCTGTCTAGTTGAGTTTGATTTGATCTAGGTTATTGATCTATCCCCACCGCTGTTCATCAATTATATTGATACTATTAATAATTGCAAGATATATGGATTTTTTTTGCGATTTACTAAACATAGTGCACTGCTTTGTACATCATATTATTTTGGAAAATGCATTCATCGTATCTTAGTTTGAAGGCCTTTTTTTGACTGATGAATTCCAGACTAAGCTATATACTTCTTCTTCTTCTTCTTCTTCTTCTTCTTCTTCTTCTTCTTCTTCTTTTTCTTCTTCTTCTTTTTCTTTTTACCACAAGATGCTTTCTCTATCTTATATAGTCACAGTATTTGCAAGTTTAAGTTATGTCATCGCCGCCTTGTTAGTATTAACACTGATTGTTTTACCAGCCTCCCTTGTTAATACCAATAACGTGGACTCCATGTCTTTTTTTCTTGACCCTCTTGGAAATGGTTTCAAACCATCAATCAGGACAGGCAAACTTCCGTTTTTCTGAGCAGCAGAACGCTAAAGAGTTCCCTTCTGAACGTCTTATTCATCACACCGTATATAATAGGATTGAGAGCACTGCTGATGTACGCAAAATACAGGTAACAAAGATACGCTCCCCTTGGCAGACTTGCCGTTCCCAGAAATGAGTTCAACATCTCTACGATAATAACTGGGATCCAACAGACCACGAAACCAACTACCATACAAAATAGTGTCCTAGTCACGTTTACCTCTCGAACGGACATGCTTGTTGCACGAGCTTGTTCTCTCTTCTGTAGAGGATTTTTAAATGAAGGGTGAATGACGGTAGTGTGGTTTTTGACAGTTTTTAGTACTTTATAGTAACATATGAATATTATTATCATCGGTAATACAGAGTAAAACAGTACCACTCCAGCTATATACACCATTCTGGTAGTTTTGAAACTTTTATTGAATGTCATAAAACATGTCCCTTTGCCCGGGCGAAACGTAAAGTGGCTCCATGCACCTGCGATAGGGATTACGATAACGATGATGATGATCACCAAGGTGCTGCAGATCATCACTATGGATGATTTGATGCTGAACCACTTTGTGTAGACATTGGGCCGCACGACGCGATAATATCGATTTATGGCTGTCAATGTCATTATATGAAGTGATGCCCAAGCAAGAAGCAGCACAACGAATCCTTGGTATTGACAAACAACGTCTGTAAATATCCATTCCCCTTTGATGAATATCATCGCTGTACAAGGCATCACTAATACCGATATAAGAACATCGGATATAGCCAGTGCACCAATATACACATTTGTGATGGTACGAAGCATGGGTTTCTTGTAGAACACGAAGCAAACGAGGACGTTGCCAACAAGTGCTGTAAGGTCGATGAGAATAATGAAAAATGACTCGAAAAAGATGGTAGTTGGAGATCGAGAACGCAGCAGCGAAGAAAGACGTTCAACATTCTTCTGTTCTTCTTCTTCCATTTTATCCAAAATGAACTGGAAAAAAGAGAAAAAAATGAATGAACTTKGGAAAGAAACAAAAATATAGCGATTCAAGGAAAGTTGAACTGTATCGAAGAAACAAGCTGAATTTTGACTACAAACAATCAAAAGTCTGCAATAACAAAGACTGATCTCAACAGGACGTTTTTGCCTTTTGAATTTTCGTTGTGTTAATTCTAAAGTAGGGATTGCTAATTTATTCATATTCCAAGAATTATGACTGAAAAATGGAAAATGAAATAATGTGTTTTTTTCTCGTGATTTCCATAAAAAAGGCTGAAACTTGGCTCTAGCAAAGAACAGAATGCAAAAGAAATGGTATTAAAAATGTAATTCATCGATAGTTATATCATATATCAAACAGAATATTACGTACATGGGCTCTTGAAAATAAGGATTTTATCTTCTAGTGTTGAGAATATCTTAATTTTTAGCTGCGCTCACTCGTAAGATATCACCTTAACACTCGAAGAGAAAATCCATGTAATATAAATTTGCTTTTATATGATGACACAAAAAGTGAATTTGTTGTTTTTTAAGTCGTATTCTTAGTGGATAACATTACATGTCCTTTAGTTCATGTTTATAGTTGTCATAGCAATTAATGGTTATGAAGGCTAACGTACGTTTAACGGCGTCAGTTGTTTTTTAAAGCAGCAGCTGCAAACTCTAAAGATTCTCAGAATAAACTGGAGTCATTTCGTCTTTCTGCCAAATGCCGGAGGGTATTATTTGATCCTGAACAGCATAAATTAGCTATAGCATTATCTTGAGAAACTGAGAATATGAAGGGTATTTTGCCATCAACTGAAATGTCGTAACTGACTACCAAAACTACCACTATACCCACTACCAATAATGCTAAATACTAGGACTCGGTACTGATGAACCACGTTAACTTCCAATTCGATCTGTTCTTACCCCGACTTAGATCAGACCAGAGGTTGTTTCAAGGTTTGATCTGTGAGTTAGCCATGCCTTCACTTAAATCAGCCCAGAGGTTGTTTCAGGGTTCTATCAGTGAGTTAACGGTGCCCTAACTTAGATCAGTCCAGAGGTCGTTTCAGGGTTCGATCTGTGAGTTAGCCATGCCCTGACTTTGATCAGCCCAGAGGTTGTTTCAGCGTTCAATCTGTGAGTTAGCCATACCCTGACTTTGATCAGCCCAGAGGTTGTTTCAGCGTTCCATCTGTGAGTTAGCCGTGCCCTGACTTAGATCAAACCAAAGGTTGTTTCAGGTTTCAAGGTATATATAATCGTGCTCTGACCGGCTTAGATCCGCCTAGGTAAGGTTGTTTCAATGCCGATTCTTATTTAGATACTTCAATAGGCTGATAACACAAAGTAAATATGTATCATCGCGATCCATTAACGGTTGTTTCAACAACCGTTGGTATCAAACAAAATACGAAGCTATCCGTAACAAAATCTTTGCTCTAATGAAATGCTCGTAAGATCTGACATCCAGTTTATCCGCTGATAAATTTCAGTAAGTTACATTATTATTTTTATCGGTCGAAAATGCATCTATAACTATAAGTTAGTTGAATTGCCTATAGCGCGCCTCAACTAAACTAGTTTGCTATCTTTTATTGCTAACTAGGACGGGTTTCAAATACATCAAATAATAGCCATTAAAGTTCTAGAAACAAGTTAAAAACGAATCAAATCAATTGGATCCGTTTCCTGTCATAAAAAGATAGCAGTTTTCGATTCAATTTTCTTAGCAATGAAATTTAAAATACATCAACAATTGAAATAAATTATTCACAAACCTTTTCTATATTGAATTTTTCGGTATATACATGGAAAACATCCCACAACTGATGAACACGCTTTAATTTTCGTTCTTTGTCAGTCTCGTTGTGAAAATTCAAACTTTTCTATCGACCTCTTCTTGTAGATCTACCAATGAATGACAGAATGCGTCATTTCAGCTGCGCGTATTGCATTAGCAATTCCTCACTCGCCTAATTAAGGCATCGGCGTGCGTAAAGCAAAAAAAAATTTTAAACCAAGTGGTTACCTACAGCGCATTGTTTCATTACTTTTAGCTGATTCCTCATATGACTGAAGTGCACTAAGATTGAGTTTAGGATCAAATGCTTTGTATTAATAAAACCGAAAAAGGACCAATACGCCACACACCAGGGGGCAGACAGCAAACGGGGACAATTCCCCGCTAATTTAAGAAGCGCACGAAATATTCTTAGAGACCATGGAAAAATACATTTGGTTATATATCTATTGGTTCTGTGTTGGACCAGTCATGAAAGAAATTCTACATATGGAGAAAGGATGAATTCATTCGGGTCCTTTCTTCATGACACGTACGAATTATTAAGGTGCCTTTCTTGAGTCTTGTCTCTGTAGCAGTATTCTAAGCTAAAAAGGGAAAACAGAATATCTTGAGGGGAAATGTTTCATTTTATATCCTTTCCTCTGTCTCACTAGCTATAATATGACGATTTCAAGCTTGACAATACCCTTTCTAGTTTGTACATTACCCTTATTATAGACAGAGGCTCATATTTTGCAAAAGACTGGACGTACACAGCTATAGGACGTCATGCTGAGTAGTAAATTAGTCTTGTGTGGATTCTCGAAAATTCTTTAAATGCAAATATTTGTTCTTGAGATAAAAAGAACAGAAGTATGGAGATACGTAACCTCAATTAAAGATGATCATTCGAACCACTTGAAGGTTTAACCATTTGAAGATGTAATTATACAATGGCAACATTTTCTCCTTAGATTTTTTCGAGACTATGAGTATTTTTCAGGGCAGGACTCGAACCACGACCTCCCGCTCGAATGTCCGATGCTCAACCAACTAAGGCAGCCTGCTAACGGTTTTAAAACTTTAAAAATTACAAACAAGTCCAAGCCAAGTTGGCTCGTTTGACAGAGCCCTGTAATGAGTTACCGGTTTGATTGATATTGTTTAATCTGTGTCATATTCATATTTATGGTGTATTTATGGGTTCTTTCTGCAAGAGGCTATCGTCGGGTCATTTCACCGAGACTATACCATCTTACCATTTCCTTTTATTCTAATATTCTTTCTTTCTT